GACCTGACTGAAAAATGTTGGACTGTATACCTTTATTATTGAGCATGCACTTTGTTGTTTTCAACCAGTTTGACACGATTGTCAGCATGGAAGAGGGCCGGCAATGGAGATGGGGCCGTACCAAAGAGACCGTCTTATCACAAGCAGAACTGGTTTGTTCCACTTTGGAGTAAGCTGTTGGGGGAAGAATCAGTTTTGTTGTGCATTTCCTTGACTGATGAAGCCTTCCGGATCAAAGGCGAAACGTTTCAGCACAAAAAAAAAAAAGAAACTGTCCAGATGACCCGACTGAAAAATGTTGGAGCCAGTGACTAGTTGGAGTGGGGATGTGAACCTTTCAAAGTGGTTGACACATCATGTGGTTTATCCGTCAGAAATATAATGCAGCCAAAAAGTGTCCCAGGATGTGCTATAGCTAGTTTTTGCTGTTGCCACTTTTCCATTTCTCTAAGCTGAGGTTGTTCTAAACATCATCTTCAACATCAAAGTTCATGCTCAATAATCCAGGTAAAAAAAAATCCAACAGACCAGGTCATCTGGACGGTTTCTTTTTTTGTTGAGACGTTTCATCCTTCATTTAAACGACTTCAGTCAGAGGAGCCACAACAAAATCAGTCCCACAAGCAGCACACTCTAGTGGACCAATCAGTTTGCTGGTGATAAGATGGTTTCTGTGACTGATGAAGTCCTTTGGATGAAGGATGAAACGTCTCGACAAAAAAAGAAACTGTCCACGATTCATTCAACCTTTATTTATACAGGTTAGTTTCATTGAGCCGCGAGAACTCATTTACAATAGTGACCTGTTCCAGACCGAACACATAAATACAGACAATAACAAACTACAGTAAAACGCAGTTAAAATAAAAGTAGTGTATAAAACACTAAAACAAGGTAAAAATGACCCAACTTAACTTTGTGGGATTTTTTTTTACCTGGATTATTGAGCATGAACTTTGATGTTTTGAATCACTTTGGCTATGGCTGCCTCAGAGGAGTCAAGGGGGGAGAGGGCGGGCCCCAGAAACCATCTTATCACCAGCAAACTGGTTGGTCCACTATGGGAGTGTGCTGCTTATGGGACTGAGTTTGTTGTGGCTCCTAAGACTGGCAGTCCTTTGGATGAAGGACGAAATGTCTCAACAAAAAAAGAAACTATCTGGATGACCTGACTGAACTTTGTTGGATTATCTTCAACAGGTAAGATATTTATTTTTTTATATTTTTTTACCATGAACCTAACTTTGAAAAATCTAAACTAACTCTTTAAAAGCAACAAAGTAAAATTCAATAGAAACAAACATCTTTCAAACGGTTCTACAGCAACATACACAGGAAACTAATATCTCTTGAATTCATTTAAACAACTTTATTAAGTTTTTACAAATAATGTAACAAATTTCATTGTGTTGTAGCGCAATTTTTTTTTTTAAACGTTTTATCTTGAAGCTTGAACACTCTATACTTAGTGCAAAACACGCCGTTAAAGGAGATCGATGATGCTGTACGTGTTTGTTTTCTTTCATTCACTCAACGACGTTTGTAAAATAATCCATATATTAGGGAGGAAAAAAAAAAAAGAAACTAAATGAAATTCCAAATTTTTCGATACTTTAAAAAGGCACATAAAACAAAAGACTTAAAATTGGTAAAAAAAAAAAAAAAAACAGCAACATGATGAGCTTAGTCTGGATCTGGTTCACTGAAGTTTTTATTTTATTTTATTTAACTGGGCACTTTTAACTGTGAAAAAAATCTAAAAGATAAGAGTGCTGGAAGTGTTAACCAGCAGCAGAAGACCAGTTTTAGTCAGGAGGTGACAAACAAAGTCTCCAGTCTTTCAAAATAAGAGTCCTCTGAACCCTAAAACCAAAAGAACTGCAGCCACTAAGATTTTTTTATGAAGTCTTCTAGATCACGACCAAACGTCTAAACCCAGCTGCAACACGTCAAGAGTTAAAGGCTCGCCTAGGCCGAGCCGAAGCAGCTTCAGTGAATAAAATCAGCAAAGTATTTATTTTAACACTAAGGCTTTCGTTGACAAAAAGACAAACGGCACCGTGTCGTGGCATCATTAGGGACGTAAAGAAATACTGAAATTCAAAATTGAAACCAAAGTGACTTTCAAAGCTTCAGCTAAACGTGCCTTGAAAAACAAACCCCCACCTAGTTTGTTTCATTAACCTGAAGAAACTGCAACGCTTTGAGGTACAGTTTGAATAAGAAAGTTACTCCCAATAATTAAATCATGTTTTGTTTATCCTCCTCTCCTCTCACGTATCTGTTAAAGTAAAGGTTAGGGGTTTAAAGTCATTTCATTGAGCAAACTCCCATCTTTAAAGCTTCAAAAACATCATTTCAAGTTGTGTAGTTTATACTTTTTAATGCTCCTTGTGTTTCTTAATTTGTTAACCAACTAACTACTAAACGTTTAAAACCTGTGTTATTTAAAACTGCATTTTTATGATTAAACATTTGCTTCATTTACTGCTTCGAACCGTGGAAAGAATTAAAGCACAGACTTTTAGGAGAAAATCCACAGACACAAAAAGACTAAAAAATGATTTGATTCTGGTCAAAGACCAACTGGACTGGTTTTGGTTTGAAACCTGTAATAAATTTCAGAAACCGCGTGACGCACTGTAGGTTTGTGCCTCTTAAGTACAGAGTGGTCCAAGCTTCAAATACAATCTTCAAAATGTCCCCTCCGTTCAAACTGAAACACGCGCAGCGATAAAAACACTGATGACAAAAAAAAAAAAAAAAAAGTTGACTTCTTAGTTTGAGCGGCAGCAGAGCGAATGGATTCAAACATCATGAAGACATTTCTCTCCCAACCAGGTCCAATCATCCTCACAGACTTCACATCAATCTGCTTACAGTAAAATAATTCACCATATTTTTCGGACTATAAGGCGCACTTAAAATCCTTTCATTTACTTAAAAATCAACAGTGAGCCTTATGTATTAATTCTGGTTGTGCTTAACCTCAAACTGATTTTATGTGGTTATTGTGAAGGAGTTGAATAAAGTTTGACTTATATGTTTTGTTTCACTTAACGCACCTTATAGTCTGAAAAATACGGTACACAAATCCACACGTGCTGCAAGCTTCAACCCAAGCCCTCAACCTCCCCCTCCCTTAAAAAAAAAAGCAACAGGAAGGATGCAAGGCACTAGAAGCGCCTCTGTTTTCAACCAGAGGCTCTAAAGAGAAGCAAAGACAGTGAAAATAAACGTTTTTGTTCAAGTACATTAAAATGGACACCATTGGTTTCTACATTCACATTCATCCAACAAAACCAGGGCAGGAAGGGAGCAGGAGGCCTGTTTAAAGTGTCTGATACATAAGTATTGTATTAAAAAAAAATAGCTAGCTTTATTTTATTATCTAAACTCTCCTGCCGTTCACTCGACTGCGTCTTTATTTGCAGGGAAGAGGTCCGACTTTCAGTTCAAGCTAATGGAGACTTTACTGGTAAGGCTTTGTGTCGTGTGGAGATGAATCAGATGGTGCTTATTGAGAAAAAGAGTCATCCATTTTCACATTTCGATTAAAAAATAAAAATAAATCCCTTGAACTGAAAGTAAAAAGGACCCCAGACTGAACGCTTTTGTGACCCTAAAACCAACGTTGTCCGACAACATTTATCTAATATCTAACAAGAATAATCACAGTGTCTCCACATCGTTCAGCGATGTGCACAAAGAACAGGTCCATTGACAGAACACGTTTTTGTTTTTTTTAAATAGAATAATAGTCATTAACATTATTAATGTACATTGCAACCATTTCAACCCAAACGTTGAAACCAAACTAGTAACGACGGTAAGAAACAAGGCAGAGTTTCTGTTAAACTGCTGCTATGCCTCCAACCATGTGTGTGTGTGTGTATTTACACATCTGTGTTGGTGTGTGTGCAACTATGTGCTTTTATATGAATGTCTCATGCAGTGTATCTGTGAGGCCAGCTAGCGAAACAAACCCAACAAAACCAAAATAAACACAAAATATTGGAATCATCATAGCTGACATTTGAGAAAATAAACAAACTGTACAAGGACTCTGATATTTTTCTGGTAACAAGGACACTTTTTTTCTCCACAGAGTTCTCTCGTGTTTGGGCTTCGCCTCCGCCTGTCAAAGGTTTCTGCTGTTATTGCTTCAAATGGTAACAGAGAGGTGACGAGAGGGACGGAGGAGGAGGAGTTGTGATGGTGAAGAGGCTTCTGGAGCGCTGAAGCATCTGGTCAGCGTGAAAGCGTAAATATGACACAAACACTCTCGGTCTTCTCCATCTGCTTTCTTTCCTCCATCCCTCATTTTTTTTAAATTAGTTTAGAAGAAAGTCGAGAAAACAAGACAGAGCAGAGACGTGCTGGGCTCCACGTGTTCTTGATATGCATTCATTTGAGATAATCTTTGTGCTTTGAATCATTCAAACACCTTTTTTCTGTTCAACCGTCACGTCAGATCTTGTGACTTCTTTGTAATCTTGAAGTTTTTGGAACTTCGTTCAACGAAATACAACAACGAGCCCCTTCTATGCCAATCTCCAGTAATATCCACTCAAAATTTGCTTCTTTTAAACTTTTTTTAAAACCTTACAAAAAACATAATTGTAAATTCTTAGCAAAGACGGCCGACAATTTGCAAAGATATGTTAAACACAACTTGCAGAGGCAACAATTATGAACTTCAGTGTTGCCCAATCCTGGTCCTGGTGGGCCACCATCCTGCAGGTTTTGATGTTTCTCTGCTTTGACACGCCTGATCTGAATGAATGATTGATTGACAGACGTGAAGAGCTGGGGAAACAGCTGAAACACGCAGGATAGTGGCCCTCGAGGACCAGGATTTGGCGCCAGACAAGAAGCATGACCTGGAACCAGTGCAGCCCAGCTGTAAAAGCCTAAACACACAAGCAGCTGCAGACACCGATCCTGCTCTGCCAGAACCTCTTTGGCCTTTAAATGCTGCACCGCTGACGTTTGATCATTTGGTTGGCCGCCACAAGCCCAAAGCAGGGAGAACTGTGCTGCTGCGGAAGTGAAGATGGTCAGATTTTATTCATCAATCCTGATTTCTTCCCTCCGATGCATTTGGTTTTTCTATCCAACTCTCTTCTCCAGCTTCTGAACATCTGTCCGACTGGGCCGCCATTTAAAGAGGCCCTCAGGCCAAACCCTACGTTGTCCTCAAGTTGGGCCCCCCTGGGTTGCTCACTGACTTCTGCAGAGCGTTGGGATGGTGGAAAGCCTGGAGAAGGCCCTGCCCTGAGACCTGGCCCTGTTGGGTGGGGTAAGGGCCCAGAGGCTGAGACGTGCTGACCAGCAGAGGCTGAGCTGGGGCCTGCTGAGGATTGGCCACGCTGTGAGCCGGACCACACCACTGTGCAGCGTAGGCGGCAGAGGGGTTGTAGGGGATAAACTGGGCCGGTTGGAGTTGGGGTATCGTGGAGGTAGCAGGAGGGTGGCACAGGGAGCTCTTGCAGGCAGCTAGAGAGGTAGCGCTGGTGGGGTTCGCTGGGAGGTGGGCCGATCCTCCGATGCTGCTGGGACAGAGCTGACTGGGAGCAGAGTACTTCCTGCACAGACTGGCAGACTGGGTGACCTGCAGGGGGTTAGGGTTTCAAACAAACAGTTTGAACAGTAATTCTTTTTGGCACAATAAGGAACTTTTTTCTGTTACTGTTGTATACTGGCCCTGAAACAAAACTTGAGTCGAAACCACAGAAAAACAGTTTTAATCTTTCAGGATTATAACTTCCCTGAGTCATCCCTCGTTTCTTAACATCTTGCATCGAGCCTTTCTTTCGTCAGTTTCTCGTCATTCTTTCTGAAGGTCTTCCGCTTCCGTGTTTGAACTTTTGCTGCTTTTTCGTTCACTTTCAAATCAAGCTCGTTAGCTTAGGAGCATTTTTTTTGCTTTTTTTTTTCAATGCACTGCATGATTTTAAACAAATGTGTGTTTCAACAAACGGTTTGTGACACAACTGAAATAAAAACCTTGCTGTTTGCTGTGAGGGAATTTTGGAGGTGGTCAACTGACAGAAGCCCAAATGTTTTTGGGCATGATGTGGTTTGTTTAAACTCACCTCGTAGCTGTGTCCCTGTGTCGGAGCCTGCTGCTGCTGTTTGGCACTCCTCTTCCCCTAAAAAGGTCACACGTTAAATTAAAACTGTAAATGTCGGAGATCCACTGAAAAAGGAAAACCTCTAAACAAGTAACTGCTGTGACTTAAAAATCAGGCCTTGCAGGTAAAGGTTTTTCTTCAATATTAGCATCCAAAAAGTTCTAGTTTAGTTGTATTTTAATTTAAATTAAACTAAAATTAATTAATCAAAAACAAGGGAATCAGAAGAGATTAACGGCAGCTAATGTTGCTGCGGTATAATAAAAGCATGATGGGAACGGACTCTGTGGTAAAGTAAACACTCCTCGTGCCAAATGGATTCAAAGCCTGAATTTTGTTTTACCGACATCCAAACCCCAGAAGTTACTGGTTTATTTACATCACTAATCAGTTTCACTTTTAATAAAGTGGAGTTTATTTAACTTGTGCCACTTCTTTAAACTGAGACTTCCTGTGCTCGTCTTCTGCTACAGTTCGACAAAACAGGAACCGACCTGCGAGAGGTTCATGGCGTCTCGGGCCCAGTTGTCCACCAGCTTATGAAGGTCATCAGTGAAGGTTCCCTTCCGTTGGTTGGGGGCTGGCAAATACTGAGAGCCCCCCTGGCTTTGATCCAAAGTGCCTGAACCGCTCACTGCGTTGGTGCTGTTTGTCCCTGTGCAAAGAGACAGAAAGAGCGAAGAGGAAAAGAAAAAACGATTTAAGACTTTGTTTGGACAGAAAATTAGAACTGATGTTATCGGAATGAGGGTGGATGCAAGCCCAGTCTTGACCATGAGAAGAGCAGAGGTTCAGCAGGTCAGCATGTTGATGTGAAAATTAACAGTTGAATTTTGATGATTTAAAAAAAAAAGGTCATTTATGATTCTGGAGTGACTAATCTCACAACAGGAACCAGAGAAAAACAAGATAATACCTCAACAACCATCTCTGTGTAAATCCATTCTTAAACATTAGATGGCAGTCTGATCCTGCACTTTTCATCAACATCTGCATCATCTGGCACAAAACTGCACACAACAAAAACTGACCAGGCTTCCTGCAGTTCTATGATGGTTCATAAATATATTATACAATTCAAGTGCCTTAATCTACCTGCATTCAAAAATTGTTATGGCGGGACTTCATCACTGCACACCTATATGCTCAAATAAACAAAGATTTTTGATTTTGATACTAATAATGCATTTCATATATGTTTTAAATCAAATTCAAAAGGCATGAACAGATAGGTTTCTCCTCTTTAAACATTTCTATAAATTGTACATTATGTACAGAAAAGTGCCACAAGAAGTAATGCTTCATCTTTTGGGCCAAAATGAACCCAGAGCTATGCTGACACAGCAAACATGAGCATGAAACAAATGCAACATCTGTTTACTGCAATTAAAACAGGAGACAAAAACAACTAATGTGATGGGTTCCAGGGAGAGAGAATCTAGCAAAAGGAAGTCAATTCACAGTTAGGCCTGTCACAATAAACAATAAATCAATTAATTGCATGATAAATGAAAATTATCGACATCATTTTCATCGGCTTCATCGTTTCTTTGAGTCTCTCTCTTTCTACTGAAGACACTGGATGATAAAAAGCTCAACTCCAGTGCTCTTTACTGACCCCTCCCTTTCTCTTGTCTCTTTAAAATCCATTTTAACTGTAGAAGCTAAGCTACGAGCTAAGCTAACAGGCCAACCTTGGGGAAAAAACCTCCGTCTTGTTGAAGCTCCAAAATTCACGGCTGAAACATGTGCCTTCATGTAAAAGTTTTTCTCTGCAAAAAGAAGCTGAGAACTTGTTTATTGATTTTTTTTTTATTTTTTATTAAAAGCTTTGTGTGAAAAATGCTATGCTAAAGAGCTCAAACCACACAGAGAGTCTGCCATTTTGAGAACCGAAGACAGACAGCTCATGGGTCAAGGGGCCTCCCTCCCATTTTTCTTAAAGAGACACGTTGCTCGCTCCCTCACTATTCATCCTTCAGTTAAAACAGTCATACTGCCATCCGGTGGTTGAAAAGAGGTACTACACTCAAAAGAAATTAACCAACATTTCTTCTTAAATTTGACAATAATTACTAATCATTATCAAATTTGAAACAATATTATCATTTATCACAATAATTTCTGAGACAATCAGCAAAAATGTGTTATCGTGACAGGCCTATACCAGTGAACAAAAATGGAGGACAATAAGAATGAGACGCTGAGTGACTGCAGCGACATGGGGTTGTGATGAAGCTAGTCCAGACCACAAGCCCTGTCAACAGAGGAGGAGACAGAAACGGAGGCAGAGGGGTAAACAGCTGCTCAGGTGTGTGACTGTAGGGAAAGCCTGCAGGTGCATGCAGTGCCACTTTTTAGTCTACCATGGAGGAGCACGTCAGTTATTTCAGTCACTCAACTCCGAGACCAATAACTTCTCCACCAATGTCCACATTCAAAATTCAGAGCTTTTTGTGGATTCAGAAGCTGAAATAACTGAGCTGATGCCGATTCGAGACGTGGGTCAAACTTAACTCCACACATGGCAGGAGGAGGAGGAGGAGGAGGAAGCATTGGCGAGCAAGCTAGGAGGATAGGGGCGGATGTGAACATATTGAGGAAAGATCAAAAAGAGAGATAGTTACTACAGAGCTGGTTGCAGGGGCAGACTTTTTTCACCATCTTCCCTGTGGTGCCAGAAGACGACGGTTGGAGGATTGGGAGAGAGTCAGAGTTAAACCCCGCCCACATCACCCGACAATCCAACACATATCTGATTGTTACATCTGGATGTAATTAGTAAACAATATGTTGGAGGTTAGACTCACCAGTAGCATCTTAAAACCTGTCACACAGATAAAAATGGGATTATTGTCCCAAAATTTACAAAAACTTTTGATCTGCTTCAAGTTTCAAGTCAGTTTTGTCTGGTTTTTATACCGTGAGAAAAACTTATCAAAGAAGTCCCAAGACTGCTATCGTTATCTTAAGAAACAACTGAGAAAAGATGTTTTTAAACTGGGAATATGGAGACAGAATTAAACCAAAGATGTGCCTTTAAGAGAAGGGCATGTCGTCTGACAGCAGAGTTCAGTTAGCCTTAGTGTGGAAATGTTTTCTCTGCTTGTGATTGTAGCTTTAAGATGCTTTTTGGGTAACAAAACACCAGGTTCTGACATGGCAATGTTTCCGTTCTACAGCTCAACAGGGCTGTACCAGAACTGGGTCCGAGCCTGCCAGTATTCTTCTCCCAAAGCTCTGATTTGCTGCCAACATCTCAGATATTTTCACCAATCACATCAAACAAAAACTCAAATTTAGTCAAAGAATTTACATCATTTTCGTAAAATGCCTTTAAAACATAGGAGCAATAAAAAGTTACTAAGACCCAGGTCTGTCTCTCTCCCCTCCTGGGGGTGAGGGGTTGTGAGGGAGGGACAGGTGGGGGTTAAAACATGGTGAGGACTGAGTGAGGAAATAAAAAGTGGAAGGGAGAGAAAAAGCTTTGAGCTGCAGAAGGTTCAGAAGCAACACAAAGAACCTTTCATCAAGTAAACAAAACATGTCAACACTTTAAATCTATAGATTACAAATTAAATCATTTAAATTAACTAACTGTACATAGCTTACAATTGAACATAATTTATTTAAATACATACAATAAAAACAAAAATATGTAACACAAGGTTCAAGTCACTGGGTCACAACTTCCTGCTTGTTTTCAGAGAAAAAGGTTAAAAATGGAAACGTGCTGCATTTCCCTTCAGTTCATGAGTAATTTAGCTGCTCAGATGAATTTACTAACGAGGACTGCATCAGTTCATATCATCAGATCAGTCTGAAGATAACGAACAGTAATAAACTACTGTCAGTTGCTAAAAGCGCAACAGCAGGATGAACATCAGATCATGATGGCTCGTGATGATATGACTATTATAGAAACATAACTTTGTTTAGTCTCATGGTCAACAGATCCAATCAGTATTTTTTAACAAAGCAGCTGTTCTTCTGGTGGTTTCTGTAATACTAAACAGCACACGCCCTTTCCACCAACAAAATCGATCAGTATCAGTATCAGTAAGAATTACATTTTCTGATGACCATTTGCTGCTATATCTTTTTTTATTTTCTCCCCTTTTTGTTTTAACTGGATTTTGAACGCTGTCAATGTTTATGTGCATGGCCCTCAGAAGGCTGAAGTCAAAATTGCCTCTAGATTTTCTTTCACATATTTTTTAATGTTCGTTTCACAGTTTTTGAAAATGTTAAAGTAGCGCAGCGTTGTCTGCAGACTTTTTTAAACTGTGTAACTATTCGATTTAGGGCGATCGTTGTACTGCAGCCAAAAGTTTACAGTGTCCAGATTCAATGTAAAGAAAGAAAAGACAAATAAAGAGGCATTCTTTTCTTCTTTTGGCTGCTCCCTCTTCAGGTGTCGCCACAGCGAGTCCATTTCACTCTGTCCTCTGTCTTTTCCCTGGCAGCTGCATTTCTAACATCCTTCTACCAATATACCCACTGTCCCTCCTCTGGACATGTCCAAACCATCTCAGTCTGGCCTCTCTAACTTCATCTATCAGAAAGAAAGAAAAATACAAATACAAAAACTGCCGGTTTAAATATAAACTATTGCAATCACGTTTTAATATGTTAAACGATAGATCTGTGCCTGATGCAAACCTGGCTTTGGTTTAGGTTAAGCTTACAAGGTGGGATGGGTAGATTAGCACTAAGATGATGTAGATACAATATTTACTGTGTTTGCAGTATACAGGTGCTGGTCATGAAATTAGAATAGCATGAAAAAGTTGATTTATTTCAGTAATTCCATTCAAAAAGTGAAACTTGTATATTATATTCATTCATTACACATAAACTGATATATTTCAAATGTTTATTTCTTTTAATGTTGACGATTATAACTGACAACTAATGAAACCCCTAATTCAATATCTCAGAAAATTAGATTATTGTGAAAAGGTTCAACATTGAAGACACACTCTAATCAGCTAATTAACTCAAAACACCTGCAAAGGCCTTTAATGGTCTCTCAGGCTAGTTCTGTAGGCTACACAATCATGGGGAAGACTGCTGACTTGACAGTTGTCCAAAAGATGACCACTGACACCTTGCACAAGGAGGGCAAGACACAAAAAGTCATTGCTAAAGAGGCTGGCTGTTCACAGAGCTCTGTGTCCAAGCACATAAACAGAGAGGCGAAGGGAAGGAAAAGATGTGGTAGAAAAAAAGTGTATAAGCAATAGGGATAACGACACCCTGGAGAGGATTGTGAAACAAAACCCATTCCAAAATATGGAGGAGATACACAAATAATGGACTGCAGCTGGAGTCAATGCTTCAAGAACCACCACGCTCGGATGTATGCAAGACATGGATTTAACTGTTGCATTCTTTGTGTCAAGCCACTCTTGAACAAAATACAGCGTCAGAAGCATCTCCCCTGGGCTAAAAACAAAAAGGACTGGACTGCTGCAGAGTTATCCAAAGTTATGTTCTCTGAAATTTTGCATTTCCTTTGGAAATCAAGGTCCCATAGTCTGGAGGAAGAGAGGAGACACAGAATCCACATTGCTTGAGGTCCAGTGTCAAGTTTCCACAATCAGTGACAGTTTGGGGTGCCATGTCATCTGCTGGTGTTGGTCCACTGTGTTTTCTGAGGTCTAAGGTCAACGCTGCCATCTACCAGGAAGTTTTAGAGCACATCATGCTTCCTGCTGCTGACCAACTTTATGGAGATGCAGATTTCATTTTCCAACAGGACTTGGCACCTGCACACAGTGCCAAAGCTACCAGTACCTGGTTTAAGGACCATGGTAGCCCTGTTCTTAATTGACCAGCAAACTCACATGACCTTAACCCCATAGAAAATCTATGGAGTATTGTGAAGAGGAAGATGCGATACACCTGACCCAACAATTCAGAAGAGCTGAAGGCCACTATCAGAGCAACCTGGGCTCTCATAACACCTGAGCAGTGCCACAGACTGATCGACTCCATGCCACACCGCATTGCTGCAGTAAGCCAGGCAAAAGGAGCCAAAACAAAGTACTGATGCTGTACATGCTCATACTTTTCATGTTTATACTTTTCAGTTGGCCAACATTTCTAAAAATCTTTTTTTTAAATTGGTCTTAAGTAATATTATAATTTTCTGCGATACTGAATTTGAGGTTTTCATTAGTTGTCAGGTATAATCATCAACATTAAAAGAAAAAAACGTGAAGTATATCAGTCTGTAACGAATGAATATAATAGACAAGTTTCACTTTTTGAATGGAATTACTGAAATAAATCAACTTTTTCATGATATTCTAATTTTATGACCAGCACCTGTATGCACTGAAAGGAAAAATGAACTGCAAGAGTTTTTTAATTAAGTATGCAGCAATTTTACTCATGTATACACTGATATTCTGACGCAGTGATACAGAGTTTATTTCTAAAAAGGCTGTAATGTTTGCTGCTAGGAGGAGATTTGGATGTTGGACAGTCAAAAAAAAAAGAGTGGATATAAAAGGAACTTATCTACTTTTATACATTTGTTTTAAAAGCAAGATGAAGATTTAAAATTAAATGATGCAACTCAAGGAGCTTATTTTTTCTGTGGATTTCAGCTCATCTTATTTTCCACAAATTCCTGATTGTCTGATTTCAAAAGGAAGGATTTCTGCCACACTCTTGTGATTTCAGATGCAGAGTCTTCCTCCCTCAAAGAAGAAAACCCACAGGAAGACAGGATGACCGTGACTTCACAGATAAACGAGTGGCAGAAAGAAAACCCCACAATGGAACCAAACGTAGGTAAGGATAAAAAGAGAGGAGCAAAGAAAGAAAGCGTTACACACAAAGAGCCAAGCAAGGCGTACTCAGAAAGCGCGTCCTCCTGCCGCCAGGCTTGAAGGCCAAACGCTCCGAACCCCAGCTGAACTTTATACAGCCTGAAGAGAGGAAGGATGGAAGAAAAAGGAAAGGAGATGCAGAAAGATGTTCAGAGCATAAATGGAGATAATAGGAGAGAAACAGGAAGACCCAAAAAAAGGAAAAATGAAGGAAATGAAAAGAGTTGAAGAATATACAGAAAGCATGTTAACAGTGAGTATGCATTACACTGTTCACACTCAAATCAAGAAAGATGGGAGCTCTTTTCCTGTGAAAAAGTGAATATTACCCTACAAGTTCTAGTATCTGCATGCAAAGAAACTGTGGGTGTGAATAATGCCAAGAGGCCTACTGCTGCTAGGAGCTCTGAGTTGCATTCTCACCTGGAGTCGGAGCACACAGGCTGGGCACAGAGAGGGCCGCCTCGCTGGTGTAGGCTGAACACAGGTTATCACTGGAGGGGGAGGTTTTGAGGGGCTGGAGCACAGTGCTGCTGCCTGAACCGGATAATCCTCCCGGGGGTAATGGAGGCAGTTGGCCGGAGTGCATGACTGGGACGCTCTGGGCGGATAAAGTGCTGCCTGGACATCGCACAAAAGCATAGAGGACAAAAACAAACGCGGACAAACACATAAAAATAACAGATAAAGACATGCATCCCCCAGAAGAGTTACACAGACACACCCACACACGGACAAGAAAACGTGGAGAAAAACAAACAGGAAAAGCGGTCAGAAATTTTGAAGCTCAGATCCTGATTCAGCGTACGCCCACATACACGTGTAACGAAACAAACACAAACATGTATGTGCACACAAACGCATGGACATAGAAAGAGTAACAGTAAATGCTGTGGCTCGAGTTAAACAAATTATGTGACGTTTCTGTTCAGAAACGGTTCACACAAACAAAATGATGCAAGGTTTCTTCTTCAGTGGCGTCTCACAACATCAGAATTTAAATTAGTATTTAAAACGTTTCTGTTGACATTTCTGATGAACAGTTTGGTTGGTGAAAATGCTACAAGACAAGCCTACCTTGCTGTAATGGACTCTTGCTACCGTGAGTGGAGCTGGTTCTGGACGATTTTGAAGACTTGCTTTTGGTCAGTCGACGCCTCCTGCCAGTCAAGGGGATTAGTGGAGGGATGACTGCAGCTGGAGGAACCTGCACCAGGACCAAGGAGGAGTGGTTGTTTTGTACCGCAGACAATACTTGTTGAATACCGTATTTTTCGGCCTATAAGTCACAGTTTTTTTATTGCATAATTTGCATGCCCTGCGACTTACATGCTGAAGCGACGTATTTGTGGATTTCCCCCCCATATTTATAAACCATTTTTTGGCTGAAATATGACCGTTTTCATTCATTCTGACTGAAAAAAATTGAACTGTATCATTTTCAGCCACTAGATGGCAGCAGAGCATGCCGCTGTATCATGTAATAGGTTAACGTGGCTATAATAACAAATTCAAAAATGTTAAAGACAAAAACAACTGGACTTTATTTATTATACTTTATACTTTGTTTTTTCTTGAACTTTTTTGAATTTACCATGTCCTGGATGACTGACAATCTTCACCAGCTATTATTGACACAATCGGTTTGCCATAATCTTCCACCATCGTTCTGCTCGCTGCTTGGAGCAACCATCAAACCAGCTGCACTGCCCTGGCAAAAATTTTTATTTTTATTTTTTTTGTGGATTTTTGGCACAACACCGGCTCACATTTCCGGGTTGTCAGCGGTGATGCGTAACAAATGCAACGCATCAGTGGTGACACATAATAGATGCAACGTATACGGTGAAGCGACATATTTATGGATTTTTTCACTTTTTTAGACATATTTGGACAGATGCGACTTATAGGGCGGTGCGATGGGTACGGCGGAAAATATGTGCGTAATGCGTGTTCATGTGAAATAAACGTTACCTTTCCCAGCCGGGTAAACAGACATTCTATTTCCTCTTTCTGGCGGGAATGGAGGGCCTGGATTTCTTTCATGTGCCTGTGGAAGAAAAAGGAAATACAACATAAAAAGATATTGACTGTGTAAGAAGTGATCAGAAAGATGGGGCTGGAAAGGAGACGACAGAAGGAAAACTTACTTTTGTCTGAGGCAGCTGACTTCCCGTTTAAAGTCTTCATCCTCTTCGAACTCTGAATCGTTGTCGCTGCTGATGTAGGAGTTATTGAAGGAGTTGTTGTTTAGACTTGGCAAGGAGGCTCTATGAGGGCGGTCTGGAGACAAAACTTGGCCAGGATCGCTGGGGCCGTTAGGAGTCTGGGGAGCTGGTGGACGACTCGACTCAAAGCTCTGCTCAGGAGTTCGACTGACCGAGAACCTACCGACACGAGACTCTGTGTTTGTAGTAACCTGAAATAAAAGACATAACAGAGTGGATAAACAGACATGATGATGATGAGGAAGAGCAAGAGGAAGCAGAAAACAAAAATACAGATTACCTGGAAGCGCCCAATTGTGGTAGTGGGCTTGGGGGAGTGGCAGGGGGAGACGAAAGGAGAGGGGTGGGACTTTGTTGGAGTCCTTTGAGGCAGTCCATCCACAACATCTTGTCCTCTTACCCCTCTTAGAGGAGATGAGGAGTCTTTGTGCAAAGTGCTGTCTGGGCTGGAAAGGCTGGAGGTTGATGAGGTGGAGGTGGAGGTGGTGGAGGAAGATTCAGAGCGAGACGAGCGGGGGGCAACAGGCTCTTCAGCAGCCAATGAGACCTGACAAGTAATATAAAAAGTGAAAACCCAACAAACATATACTTTTTTTATAATTACATTGTTTAAAATAAATGTCCCACGTTGACATAAAACAAACGTTCTGAATGAAAAGGAGTAGTTTGAAGAAAAAAAATCTTATAGTCCCTTTTCCCAAAAGTCACTCTACTACACCACAAGCAACCAAGTTTCAATCAACCATCTATATACACATCTTTGAACACAAAATAATTATTGTTTTTAATTGTTTATTTAGCTTGACCATACTTATATATCTAGTCCACAAACACCCGGTTGATTAAAAAGCCAAAATATAAAGTTTAGTCTTGATATCAATGTCTAGGTGTCCTTAAGAGGCAAGAACTTTACCTGAAATCTTCCTAATTTAATCCCACGAGCACAAGGAGGAACAGTTTGAGACACTATTTCTTCTTCTAGAGAGAAGGGAACTGAAAGAGGGATGATAAATATTTCACACAAATGGCAGGCAAAAGACACCGTTTGATGTATTTAGGGAATATAAAATACATACTTGGTTGTCCTACTGAAGGCGCACTGCTCTGAGGGACCTCAAATAAAGAAAAAAGTTTGATCAGATTAATAAACATAATTTTAAAGTGAGCACAAAGGGTACAAAGTGTGTGAGCTCACAGGAACAGTTTCTGGGCTCAGTGCTCTCCTCAGCTGGGCATCGAGGTCCTCCAGAGGCTGCTGGGACTGAAGAGATTGGCAGACATGTTAGAAACTCATCAACAATCAAGGCCAGCAGTTTTAGTTTAATTAGCAACACAAGCACACACACACACACACACACACAAAGATGAAAGCAAGGATGCATTTTGAAGATTTGTTGCTCTCTTGCACTTTCAGATAAAGACCTTCTGGCTTTTAACTCTACTAGATACATGAAACCCTGCAGCTCTATCTGTTGGTTTTTTTTTAAAAATCTATTTAGATTATTTCCCTGCACAAACACATGAATGGAAATGAAGAGACACAATACAGTAATTCCCATTCGCTTGAGCAATTTAATTAAAAAACGACTTCATTTAAGATCAAGATCCTTGGTGAAGTTCAACTCCAGCAGGATTATTTTAATCAAATGGGACATGTCTCGCTGGGAGGAGTTAT